TGAAATGCTTTTTTTAAGCCATTTGTAAATATTGTCCTTAGTATAACTGTGCAAACAGAACTAATTCTTGAGTAGCTAAGATGATATGATTTTGTGTAAGTAAAATTATGCTGAAAATATCATTACACAGTTATCTAGCCAAAGACAATTTGAGTTGAGCATTAAAGTTTTAAAAAAAAAAATGTTTAAAAATGCTTAGTGTACTTTTATAGTAATCTTAGTGGTTTATTACTTGACAAAAGTAAAACCCATGGGCTTTTATTGTGCTTAAACTTTTAGAAGTTTAAAATACTCCTCAAACATGGCTTTAGCCAAATGGAGCTGTGGTGCTCATGCAGAGAAGGTCCAGAAGAGCTTCACTCTCTGTGGCATCACCTTGCTCCTGAAAGACACCTCTGTTACAGGCCCTGGAAACACTGGCTGCGCCATGACAGGAAAGGGAACTTTTTATATAGAAAAATCATTAAAAAGTAAAACAAAAAAACCCCTTAAGCTCCACCGGTGTTCATTGTCTGTCTTCTCCCATTTCTCGTCTGTTTTTAGTTTATTTAGATTATAAGCTTCTCAGAGGGGCACTTTTTTCCTTTTTTTTTTTTTGTAAAAGTTAATATTGCTTGTTCCTGTTGCTGTTTGAACTCCAAACTGTATTAGGGCAGGCCTTTATTACTGTTATCTTGTGTATGTTTTTAATAAGTGTTTCTGATGTTGCTAATAACACGTGCTTTGCAAAAGTACCATCATTAAGTTTGGCTAATTTGGGCGTTGGTATTCAACAATTAGGGCCTTCGCGCCTCCCCCCCCCCCCCAGTGAATAGATGAATTACAAAGTGTCAGATAAGCTGATTTTAAACATCCATAGAACTGGATATAGTGTTCATTCTTCAGAACAGCAACTCTGTGGAGAATTTGCTGAGCTTTAACTACTTTCTTAGCCTTTAAACATGTATTTCCAGTGGTCTAAATGCCCTCTATTGATACGTTTAGCCTGTTTTGAGTGACATGTTTCAGTTTGACCTAAACCCATTACTGGCTGATGGCAGCCAGATCAGAAAAGGTCACTTGTACTTAAAGGGTTTTTGTAAGCTGGCTTGTCTTTTTAACTGTGTTGAAATTTATTTCATAGGCTAAATAGATTAAATTATTATAGTTAACCGTAATAGAGTCCTTGACTGTTAAGGAACAAGGCATAGTACTGTGTTATGTGTGGGGTTTTGTTTTTTATTAATTGTCCTTCAAAACCCTGGTCGGCTTGACAGGCAATTATATGAAACCAGAAAAGTGTGGTCATTGCCCTTTGGATGGTCTGGGAGACTCTGGGGTTTGAGTCAGACTGATACGAGAACTTCTCCTCCAAGCTGACCAGTCACATACATGGTTATGGGGGGAGGGTGCCATACATTTCTCACCTTTTGGAAGCTCATCTGCAATATCAGAGCCCACTGGAGTTTTATCTTCAGAGGAGCTCACAGATGTGTGATGGCTGCGATGTTGGCACTGACAGTGGATGCTCAAAAGCCAAAGTGTATGAGTTGCTAAGCAGAGGTTTAAGTTGTAGCTTGGAACTTTTCTGATTCAAGGCCCTCCTAGATCAGGTGTTTCTTGTTGGAGGAGGTGAGGAAGAACGTTATGTGCAATGGGTTACAAAATCTTAGTATTACAGAGTACAGATCTTTCTGCAACAAGTCTCGTGGTTGCAAAATCAAAAATTGCTGAGGCTCTGCCTAAGATTTATTTTAAGGTCTGTTGGTCTGTTCATATTAAATCAAAATAAACTGTATTCTTTTTACTCCTGTTGTAAGATTAATGCAACTCTGGGAATACTTGGTTGATGAGCCACAGTAATTAATAAAAGCTTTGACTGTCAGAATCTCAACAAAAATAATGTCCGAAATGCTACTTTTTATAGAATTCCAGTTTTAACTGGCAAGGCATGGAGTTAGTTTAATTAGCCTAAGTCTGGTGGGTACTGATAAACAATTTCCTTATACTTAGTATCTGAATAGCATGGGAAAGGAGTAAATTCTTCTTCAAACAGAGAAGTTTTTGCAAAGGAGCAGAATTTATCAACTGTTAACATTATAAACTGTCACCCCCCTTGTTCCTCAAACCATTTCAATTCTGCAGAAGGTCTGTTAAGGAATATGCTGCTGGTTTCTGTTCCTTTCTCCCGAAATTGGTTTTGTGGGGGAGGCTTTCTGAATTTGAGTGCCATCTTGTGGTGTGTTGTGGGATCCAAGGAAAGGTAATAACCCCCCTTTCATTATTAACCTGTTAGGATTGGATTGGTATAGAGATGTACCAAGTTGTAGTCACCAGGGAAAAATATTCATTGTATATTTCTGTGCTTAGAGAAGAGATTGCTACTTTGTGCCTAAAATTTTCATCAGCTCATTTGAATTACTTCAATGTGTGGCACATGGAATAAGCCCTGGAAACTTTACAGCTAATGTAGACTGTGGTAGCCTGCTAGCTGTGTTAATTAATTAATGGTGATGTATAGTGAATTTAAAACAAAAAATCTGTTCGCAACATAAAGGTAAACTTAAATTCTGTTTATTTCAAAACTGTTTTAGTTTCTTTGCTGCAAAATTGGTGTCCATGGCAAAGCTGAAATCTGCTTTAAATGATAACAGAAAATTTTCAGTCATGAATCCAAGCTGTGAAATTTTTCATTTAAATAAAATTATGTATGAAATGGTGCTCTGCCATTAAAATATCAAGACATTATTTGCCTTGGAAGTAGATTTTGTGTGAGCTGTGCTCGTTATTTTGCCTTGTGTATACTGGGTGAGTACAGGACACAAGGTAGAGAGCAGTTACACATTCCACTGAATATTTTCTGCCTCTGCAACTTTGAGCTTATTTCTTTAGCAGGGCTAAAGCCAAAAGGAAGGTTTTGAACTTTTTTAGCTGTATAGATTGACACCCCACATTAGAACAGCATATCTTGTATGAGCGCACATTTGTGTACGTAAGTGTACATGAAAGCTCCCAATGGCTTAAAGGATGAATGAAGGAGGTTGCATCAGTAAAAGCAGTTGCAGCTAAAAGTTTGGTACAGAAATGTTCTGGAGATAGCAAGAGCATAGGTATTTTATTAAGATCTCATTTAGGACAAATAAATAAAATAAGCTAACACACCACATATTTAAAAGAAAAATAAAATATTAGAAGAGCTGGGGGAAGGGAAATCTCTTTTGTGTCCCCTAACGGAGGTTGCAAGATTGCAGGCTGGCTGATGCAACTTTGCAGACCTTTAGTATCAAAGGTTGCTAATACAACTAACAAAACTGATGTGGACATCTGATCTTTGTTGCTGATTGAGTCAAAAGTCAATGAAGCAGATTGATGCAGTCTCTACGTCTGAGCTTAGGAGGACAGAATAAACCCAAAAGATTTACCTAGGTTTGATACAGTAAATAAATGTCAATCTGTGCAGAGAAACCCAAGAATTAAGAAAACCAGAAAAACCCATCTGGCCCAGGTGGACAACTCCTTGTAGTTTGTTACAGAATAAAAACCCTTCATCTTTACAGTGATCATGCTAAAACCAAATGCATCACACAAAATGGGTATGGCCAGACAGCATTGGTCATTATGCTAATACTTGTCACTGACAGGCTAACAGTCACCTCGTGCTTAGGTTTTTGTTTGTTTGTTTTAAAAAAGATGAATGAGGAGATGGTAGCTAGGTTAATCACATAAACCCCAAGAACCTTAAATTCTAAGATTCTTAATTCTTAATTTAGAACTGCTTGCTTTACACAGTATGACTTTCTGATACAGCATAACTTACTCCCAGCTTAAGCTCATGTGTAGTGGTAGATCTCACTTTTCATAGCAAGTGGGTGTCATAACTATTAACTTTAAACATGGTTTAATGGTATCTCTATGAAGATAACAGGAGAGAAAAAGAGCCTTTATGTGCCACCCTTGCCTGGGTACTGCCGACATGTCAGCCTGTGTTTCTTTACCGACACTTTCTGCACCTTCTGCTGGACGAGTGCCAGCCTGGAACATTGTGTTTTCTCCATGAAAGAGCTGTTAGTCTTAGAGGAACAAAACCAAACATAGTTCTTGCCTATAAAAATAAGCAGAAAAACTTATAAGACTGCAGAATATGAACAACCGAATGGAGTATTGGCGCTTTATTTGTGCTCTGTAGCTATGGAAAAGAGAAGAAGAAAAAAAAGGTTATCTTTGTATTTGTTTACCTTGTGAATGCATGTTGTGCAAATGAATTAATTGTCAGAGAATAATTAGAACCTGTCAAGAAGTCATGAAGACTGAACACTTTTGAAACAAAACAGACATCTGAATTTAATTTCTTGTATGTTGTTTCTATTTTTTGTCAGTATAGAAGAAAAATTATGTGAGTGCTGTTGACGTGGTTGAAGCTGATAGTATCTTCAGGTTGTGTTGCTGACGTTCTTTTGTGGGTTTGGTGGTTTTTGTGCAGTTATTCAGAACATGTAGATTTCTAACCATATTCAAGCAAAATATAACAAAAAAAATAACAAAACCTCCTGCAGGAAAATGCTTTTAAAATTACGAGTTTTAAGCCTGAGATGTTGGGGAGCTTTTTGCCTGTTTTAAAAATAAGTGATGTCAATGTAGTGCTTTCTGCACTGCATTTACGAAATTGCTACTGTTTGAATGGTTCTGGAAAGAAAAAAATTATGAAGTACACTGGAGGTTTTAGTATAGATTTGCTTTTGTAAGTTGAGTTGAATAGAAACAGGAAAGCACTGTCACCACCTAATCTAGTGTACATGTTAAATGATTTATAAACAATCCAGAAATCTTGAACTAAGACCATATAATTATTCTGTCATCAAAATATCTGTTGCATGCAATTTCTTCAGAATCTTCTTTCAGACTTTTACTGGGGTAGCATTAGCTGAGAAAATGGCTTAAGTTACATATAAAATGCTTCTCTCTCCCTTCATGTTTTTATATTACATCACATAATCAAGATTTATGCCATTGTTGTTTTTCAGAGGATACTTTGGGATTGGGATTTGAAGCAATGGTACAAGCCCTATTACCAGGTCAGTGTATTATGAATCTAATTATTCTTTTGTGAAATGTGATTGAGTGCAGAGTTCACTATAAATGTCAGATTTCAATTTTTCTATTGTTGTTTTATTTACATAAGTTGTCCTAGGACATTCTAGCTCCATGTAGCAGAGGCTTGATATTTAGCAGTTCTGACCAAGTTGACAGAGATCTATGTTCTGTGGTGTATATGACAACAGTCTCGAACCTAAGATGGGAGTGGGTTTTTTTGAAATATCCATTACCATAAGGTTAGGGAGTGATTTCCCCAGCAATGTCACCAAACTCAGGTGTACCACGTTCTCGCCCGTTTTTGTGATTGCTTGTTTCTCCTCCTCTCTCTTCTATCAGTGGTGGCATCTAGTCAGCTATTGCTGTTCCTGTTCAGAGAATTATGCCAAAAACAAACTAACCACTTTTTTGATAGAATTATTAGGATTTGTTTCAGTAGAATCAGATTTAATAAAAGTAGTGAGGCTGTGGAAATTGCACCTCTATAAGGGGCTTATAACAGTTTGGCCACTAAAATTTCTGTTGATACTAATGGAAGAGATAGAATACTAAGTTTAACTCTGAGACAACGTAGTGAAAAATTGAGATTAAAAAATTGGCAGCAGATCTTTATTTTAAATAAACTGAAAGCTAATGTTGAATTTGAACTATTTTTTTATTGCATGAAAAAATGCGAAAAATGGTGTCTAAATAGGTCAATATGTATATATTTTCTTGAAAAGAAAAATACATTGCATTGGAGTTTTTTATTAATTTTTTAAATTTGCAATAGATAAAATGCTTATTTAAAACTTAGAATACCGTGAAATGTTTTGACATGTTAATAGTTTGCAATATTTCCATCTATTCTAGAATGCTGGCAGTGGAAGTGGAGTTGATCTTTCAGTACTAAATGAGGCTCGGAGCATGCTAACAGACCTCCTGACTGTCCCATCCCTTCCACCACAAGTGATTTCTTCCCTTCGAAGCATTAGTAGTTTGATTGGTGCTTTCTCAGGCACCTGCAGGCCGAAGGCTAGTCCCTTCACACCATTTCCTGGTTTCTTCCTCTGTCCTGAAATAGAGGATCCCGCTGAAAAAGGAGATCGAAAGCTGCTCAAGGTCAAATTACTTTAATTTTCATTCATGTGTGTGTGTTGCAATTTAAAAAAAAAAATAAATCAAGGCAGATTCATCTGGAAAGAATGCTCCTATATGGACAGTAGCTTCTTTACTGAGTACCTGTGACCTACATTTAAGGTTAAAAGAGGGCAGCTGTGAAAACACATTGAAATGTAGATAGGTACCAAACTGCAAATTCACGTGGTTGATGGATAGGCAGGTAAGAGCACTGGTCTGCGCTCTGAACATGATTCCTTCAGGTAAATGCTGTATTAAAAAAGCTGAAAGCAAATGCAAAATAAAGATGTTACATTCTCATGATATGGCACAAACAGGGCTGTTCTTGATTCTCGCACATTTTCTTGATCTAACAATTGCTATCAATGTGGCTTTTTCATTGACTTTTTTTTCCAAGGAAATTTACTCTTGTGAACATCAAACAAGCCATCATACAGAAGCAAATCAGCTCTGCAAAAGAAAAATATCTGTTCTTTCTGTGCAGCCCATCACATTATGGGACCAGTGTGTAAATCTGTGGTCACTTCTCCATTATCTAGGGTAAATAAGTGAAAGCAAGAATGTACTTGTATATGACATGTTAAGGAGGGTGGTGGAAAAACATTCAAATATAGAAACTGAGCTGCAGTGCAGCAGAGCTAATAATTCTAGGGTAGCCCGATATTGACAGCTTGACGCTGTTCATTGTGGAGGCTGGTCTGGGACATCCGTGCCCTGTAGTTGCTTTCATTTCCAGGCAGTGGGCAAATTGATCAACTTGTTGGCTTAGTGTTTTGGAGACAGATAAACTGCCTCAAGCCAGATTCAGCCTGTAAAATGTCTATTGGGAACCATTGTCAAGACTAATGCTTTTGGGGAAAAGCTCAGTGTCTACAGATTACTCTGTAGAAGATCCTGCAGGACCATTGCAGTATGAAATCCCTTGGAATGTCTCACGGATATCTGCAGAAGTTAGTTGCGTGGGGATCATAATCATTCAGCATATGTTTTTCTTTGTGGATTTTTTGAAAAACTGCTGAGGATTAGTATACCAATGTGAAAAATATAATTTATGTGAATGTGAAAATGATTTTTAAAATGTCTATATAGCTAGTCAGAATTGTTTGAAATGAGAATTATTCATTGCTGAAGACTGGCTATAAAGATTATATGAGATTGAAAGATTATATTTTTTCACAGCTGTTCTCTTTTCCTCCTTCCTAAAAGTAACTCTTCCTTTGAGTTTGGTGGGTTTTATGTACATTAATTTACCTGGTGGATAAAATAGCGCTTGTCGCTGTCATTCAATAAATGTTTGACTTTGGTATGTGTTTAGGGATAAACCAAAAGGTCTACCCCTATGTGTGTTACTATAAGATTTCTCTTTCTGTCAAAAACCAGGTAAGTCAGCACAAACTCCAGGTTATGACACATCAAAGGAAATCACAAGAAAGTATTTCTTCAAAATGGGACCTTTCAGACTATATTGAAAGGTTCCCATTCTCTCTTTCCTGAATGTGGAACTTCCTGTTCTCTTTGGTAGAAAAAAAGGAAAAAAAAAAAACAAGGGAAAGAAAGAAGCTGAAACTGGGCTTCAGCCCTTGGGCTAGCCGTAACTGGTTATCTAATGCTAACTCTTCACTCTGAGTTTCTTGATAGTCAACAACTTGGAAAGCATAAACTGCCCAGTTGGTGCTGTTTACTGATCAGTCTCTTTAAATTCCTAAAAAATAAACAGGAAATCTTAGTTAGACAAAAAATATCTCAGGGCTGCTCTGCAATAGAAAGACTTTTCAGTGCCATCGTGACAGAGCTGTCCCCAGATTTACTAGCGTATGACAGTAGACTGCTTGCCAGACTGGTGGATTTCTGATGTTATCAACAGTCACGATTTTAACAGTTTTCACACTTTAGGCAAGTAAAAGTTGTCTAGGCAAGCACTTGAGTGTGTATCCACATTCCTTGTCTCCTGGCCTTGTTATTGCTGGTAACTGAAACTCTTTTCATAACAACTGTGATTTCTGGCACAGTCTAAATTTTGTTTCCAGAGCACCTTTTCCCCTTTCTATAATGATTACCAGGGACTTTGCTAGCATAGAGTGATCCGGAGTTCCCTAATCCTTTGCTGCCCATGTTTTGTTTATTCTCTGCTTCTTTAGTAGGGGAAAGTTCTGGAGATTTGTCATATCCCCAGTGTCCTCTCATTCTTAGAGTAGCCAAGAAGAAGAAAAATTAAGTGCAGGTGTGGGGGCCATCTTTCCATGCTGTGCTAACGTGCACTTGTGTCAGGGAGCAGACCTTTCTTCTCCAACGTCGGGGATTTTCAGCTGCGCTGCCCATGCTGTAGAGAGCAGGCAGGTGAGGCTGATGTGGCCCACTGACAGGGAAGTCCACTGCAGCCCGAGAGCGTTACCCCTGAATGACGGCACGCAGAATACGCTCCGCCGGGTCGCTTTCAGGAAGGCTGGTTAAGGCCTGCTGCATGCTTCTGTGGGCGAGGTGGCGGTCTTACTCGGCCTGTCCAGATCCACCTTTGTGGCTGTGAGTGTGGCTTTGCAGCAAAGCAGAGTGAAGGTACATCCCATCTCAAGGACTCAAAGCAGTCTGATTTTTCAGGGGAGGAGGCTGTGCTCTTTTGTGTCAGCACTGTTTCTTTTTTTTTTTTTTTTTGAAATATGTTGTAGCTTTGTGAGTTAAGTATGATCTTTGACCACCTGATGAAGCTTAAAATTGCAAAGTAATTTCTGCCAGACTTTTGAAGTGGTAGTATCCGAGGGTCACATGTCCTCGCACATGACCCTGCAGACCTTACTCAAGACTGCAAATATTGCTTCGGATTTTTTGTTTTAAACATTTTTTTCCTGGCATCCTTTTTACTTTGCAAGATCTGTTTACGCACATCTGAATTATGCAGAAGAATCTTCCCCCCCCTTCCCCCCTTGAATGGCCAAATCTAGGGCTAAGTAACATGTGGATTGTGGACTGAATGCAGTCAGAGAGGTTTGGGTTTTTTTATTAATTTGTTTGAAATGCAATGTATAGGTTATCTGTGCAATGGATGCAGATATGCCAGAGCTGGCTTTGCAGTTTCAGTCCGGTGATCCTACCCTTTCTATTAGTTAGGTGCTACTAGTTACTGTTTAAACACGGGAATACTTTTCTGGGGGTATTTCGGTAAGGCAGAGTAAGGCAGTCCTGAGTTATTTCCGTACAGCACTGTTCGAGTGCCGTCACCCTGCTTTACAGAGGGCTTTGTGTTCAAGTACAGTGGTGATTCCCAGTGTCTGGGCTGCAGTGTGCCTAAACGAACACAGCTTCCAGGCTGGGAGTGGTGAGGTGCCTGGGAAGCTGCCCAGGTGCTGTGGGACTGGTATGGAAGCAGAGAGGGAGGCTTGACGGACCAGAACTGACCCTGTGCATTGTGCATCACTCTTTCACAATGTTGTGGAATATGCCAATATTTAGCTTCTGAGTTACCAAAATTTCAGGCTACCCTGAGAGCTGGAGAGCTGACTATGTAGTCATATGATTGGGATAGGTAGAAAAAAGAATCTATAATCCTATAGCAACTGGCTGTCTCTAGAAGATCTCAATTTTTAAAAGGTCTGAAGAGTAATCATTGGACCACATGGATTTCAGACTACAAGTATCTTTACATAAGTTAATTTGGGGAAAGAAAAAATGAGATATGAAAAACAATTATTCCCAGTAAGCAAAATAATTTGATTGCATCTTTTTTATTTTCTTGAGCAATAAGAGTGAATGTAAGATATCGTACTTACTGATTAGGACTGTAAAAAATTAATAATAAATAGTCTGCACAAACAATAAATAAAATTTTAGTATCTATTTTTAATTATATAGATTTTAACCATGGATAAATTACTCAACAGGGATTAAATAGCAGGAATAGCCTGCCAACACCACAGCTGAGACGAACTTCAGGAGTTTCTGGCATTCAACCTATAGAATCAACATCTTCTAGATGGGACCGGAGTAACAGCAAGAGATCTCATCAGGAATATAACGTGTCAAGGTAAGCACTTAGCCACATTTTAAAGGCAATAATAAATGTTGGAACTTGGCAGCGGAAGTATTTAATGTAAAATCTTGTGAATTAAGTCTCCAAATTCTGCCAACGTAAACTGGAAAATGTTTCAAGTTAATTATATACTATACTTTATAACGCTGTTTGATCTCAAGTATAAATCGGGTCATTCTGAGGCTGAGTGGCATGCTCTGTCATACTAAGTAGGCCTGGATATCAGTTTTAGTAGGAAAGGAAAAAAAAGTCCAACATACATGATTGCAAAACAAACTACTTTAACCTCTAAACCTTTACTGACTTCCTCCCTCTCCCTTTTACTTAAAATATGTATCAGTTTCCAACTTCCACATACCCCAAAATGTGTTTTCTAATGAAAAAGATGATATCACTTTCTTGCTTTTGGTAGCCACTGTTGTGTTTGTTGCAACATTTATTATTCCTACAGTCATCAAGCAAGCAGTAAAGGTAGATCGAGAAAGTCATCTCTCTCTACTTATTTAGTCAATATGGTGCAAATAAAGCTTTTATTTCCAGAATTAAGATTATATTTTAAATTAGGATTAAAATAAATGTACATTTTTTCTTTTTGTTTAATGTTGTACATGAGTTGAACTTCACATATTTATTCAGATGTGTAATAGTGTATGGCTTTCCTCAATATCTTGTAAGAAAAGTACAACAGATGTTTGAAATTGTGTTGCAGCTTAAATCCATAAAAATGTGTGTGGTTTTTCTTTTTTTCTTTTTTCTTTTTTTTTTTTTAATGCTTGGTAGCCATTAAGACTTTAATGGTTTTACATAGGTCATAAGGAAAACATAATATACGTATTTTTTAAATATGACTTAGGCTGATAACCGATTACTAGTAGTGGATGAAACTTTATATACACATGTCTAAGAATTGAAATTAAATATAATATTGATAAATAAAAGTAAACCATTTAAATAATTTAGCCCTTGTCAGTGGCTTTTCCCCCTTGAATAAAATACACTTTTCAGGCTTTTACATAGTAAACCAACTGTTGTTTGTGTATAAAATATAATTGAAGACAGTAATAGTAGCAGTAGTAGTAGGTTAAAGATTGTGTTTTCATGCTGATTTGGTTATCAGTGTTTGGCAGAATCTCGTCATTTGTATCCACTGGAAATAAGCAGAGACTAGAGAAATCACTTTAAACTTACAAACCGTGGGACTTCAGTGTCTGGTGCAGAGGCAGCGTATGTTTACAGAGGGTTTCCTCACAGCTCCTGCTGACCAAAGACTCAGGCTCACCCAATTAAAAGCAGTGATATGGAAAACACCCTCGCTCATACTCCATCACATTTAAATTCTCTCTTGACCCTGATGACTGGCACTTCTAGTTAGTCGTGTTCCCCTTCCCTGCTCCTGTCCACCCCCATACAGCCCTAGAACATGTGTTCGCTTTTTCGGGGTTTGTGCCCTGCCCTTCAGAGTTCTTGCCAGTGCTTGCAGTGTCCCTGTCTCCTTGCATCTTCCAGGGGTCGTTCTTATCTGGTTCCCTTGAACTCCTAACCCGTCATCATCTCAACCCCCCCCAGGGGTGCTTACCTTGCAGATAATGTTAGATGAAATAGCTGAACGCTGTTTCTGCTGCTGTAAGAGTCAGTCCTGCGTTCCTTGAGTACTTCCTGCCATTGCCTGTGGCTCTTGAGTCACCCCTGTAAATTGTCAGAAGTCTCAGCAATAAAAAGACAGTTTTCCCTGCCTTGGGGAGCTGATTCAGCCCAATGAAGGACCCAATGAATGTTAGTAAAAAGGGAGAGTGAAACAGCAAACTGTTCACTAGGAGGAAAGCTTATGAAAAATCAAAACTTTTTTTATGTACAATGAGTGCTTTCAACTGAATTCTAGCTGAGTTGAGAAAGGTAAGATATTACATAGAGGTACAATAAATTAATGGGGCTACAAAATTTGATTTAATGTTCCAGATTTTTTTTAATCCATCCAGACAGTGTTCAAAAGTAACTCTTGAGAGCTGCTGTTTTATTTGCTTGCAGGTTCTTCATTTGGTTTCTCATTCAAACACTGGTTCAAGATGAACTGTCCTTGCTTAATATATAGTCTTCCTACACTAAATACTGTTGCAGCATTTTTATGTGCTTTAAAAGCATACATGTACGCTATGATAGCTAATAGCGTGAAAAGTTCAATCTAGCCCAGTTGTCAACCCAAACATTTTTTTAAAGTTGACTAACATGTCAACATCAGACTTCAGAAGAATAAATCTGTGTTTATTCTTGAACTTATTTTTTGTATTTATATTTAAACAAATGATGGGAGATCAGGTATTATTTCTGTATTTGACTTTTATTTGACATCTGACTAAACAAGATTAAATCTGTTTCAGTAGATACTGTTTTCCCATAGTGAAATGAAATGATTCGTTTAACATAAACTATTTTCACTTTAAAGTATGCGTATACAGTTATTTTTAATGGCATATCACATTTTTGTTTCATAAAGATGCAATTGGAATTTCGGAGTGCAGTTTCATGCTTAGAACAGCAGATGGCATAATTCAACAATCAAGTTTAACGATTTAGCTACTGGTGTGCAGTGACTACGTGAAAAACAGCTTTAGTTTTAAGATTATAATAAATGGAATTATTAATTAACTATAGAAAATTGATTTGAAAAGCAAGCTTGGCTGCCTAAGATTGTAATGGTATTTCCAAAGCAACCAATCTCAGATCTGTTAGAAAATATCCTGCATTGCTAAAACGTTCAAGAACAGCAAATAACATGTTAGAAAGTAAAACCTATGGCACGTCGTCTGAATATACTTATTATATCATTTTAGGGCTGCATAAAGTTTTCTGTTGCTCTCACCCAATACCCAGCAGCTTTTATTCCATATGATTGACATATATTGTCTAGCTGATCTTGAATTTGACTGCTTTTTAGTACTCTCTTTTTGTTGAATGGTGCTGGACCTCTAACAGAGCAGTCTGGCTGCTTTATAAGCATTTTATTTAATAAAAATGGAGGCCAGGTAGGAAAGAAAAAAAATTTTCACTGTTTTATTTTCAGCCAAGGATCTCATTCAAATGGGTCTTTTGGTGCAAACTTGCTGACAATACCAAAACAAAGATCATCTTCTATGACATTGACTCATCATATAGGTCTCAGACGAGCAGGTAAGACCGTGCAATTTCTAGCTTAGTGGCAGAATGTCAAGGTAGTAATTAGTACATCATGTATACAATTGGGGTTTTTTTTTGAAGTAAATGTAGTACTAAAATAACATCAGCATGTTGCATATATTTAAAAAATATTCCATTTTTAATCGGCTTCTAAGAATACTCAAAACTACAGTGAACATCAACTTTGTAGGAATCTCAGCTATTCACCCAATGCTGTGTAGCTGCAAAACGTTATAATTTTGTGTGGTTGGTACCTGTTGAAAATTGCAACATTCACATACATTAAGGGACCATTTTTAGTAATTATGCTTTTTGTAATGGAGCAATGTAACTTCGACACTCCTAAATACCTGATAGTCATCTGAGATTAATATTTACACAAATTTTGGAAGGAGTTGGAGTAGACTTTATTCTAACACTGTCAGTGTAATAAGCTAGTAGATACTATAACAGCAGTGCTGAAATAATGTGTATATCAGTATTTCAGAGATTATAACTAGTCTGTTTGCCCATATTAAGTGAAGACTTGAAAATGACTTCTTTTGACATTTCTACCTATCCGTTTTAGCATGATTTAAAAATAACAACCTCTCTAATTTGTTTTATAAAAGTTGAAATATGTACGTTGGATTGAGAGAGATGAATGCACTTTCAAATTTTTATTTTTTTCTTTTAAAACCCAAAACCTCACCAGTTTTCTCTGTATTACTTATTAATGATTTGGTTGTTTCACTTTCACTCTTCTGAACACCAAGAAACATGAACTCACACCAGATCCTCGTGTGAACACGTTGTTGCATATTCTCAATGGTTCTCTATTCATAGAAAGCTGGGCTGCCTCCTGCACTTTTCCACTTTGAATCTTGTGGAAAATACAGAGCACAATGAGATGCATTAAAACCTGCTGAATGTGTACATGTGGAAGGGATGAAATTAAGTAACCGACATTAGAGTATTAGTATGTTTTAGTTTTGGGAGGGAGTTTGCAAATTGCTTCTAAACTTTCCAGATCTTTCTTTGCAACAGTGAAGAGACATTTGCTTTCTGAAACTTCTGTCTCTGCACCTAGCAACGTGGACTTCAAAAATGTGTCTTTTATTGTAACAAAACATAATTACATATTACTCTTAGGGTATGTGAGTCAAGTCAGTGTAGCCTATGCCACTGTTGAAAGTGTATAATCTATGCATTCCTTATTTAAGGGCAATACTGTATATGCTCTTAGTAGTTTGTTATCAGGCACTGTACAGTCATAAAACTGATCTTTTGCTTCATAGTTTGCTGCAGAATGAATGATTCAGCTTTGGAAAGTCCAAAGAATACCTCATTATTTTGCTCATACGCACTTTATTCTTTTTGATTCAAGTGTATTTACAATGGCTATAACTTACCTTGGGCACTCATAGATAACCTGTCTTTTGTATATTTTCACAAGGGAAAGAAACGATGTTTTGGCTTAATGCAAAATTTTGTTGTAAGTTCATGTTAGGTACAGAGTAGCCAAAGTCCAGATTTACCAGCTTGCTTTCCTAGATTTCACAGACAGAAGCCTGAAGTAAACCCTAGCTTACTGTTTGAACAGGAATGGGGAATTTCATGGACCTAAGGAAGATGGAGTTTTGTGGTTGGTTTGTTTGTTTGTTTTTTATCTCCAGTTACCCATGAGAAAACTTTAGATTACTTTTTTTTCCCAATCACTCGTTAGGCAGATTTAGCTAGATTATCATGCCAATGAAAAAAAGGTACATCATTGTGAAAAAAGGCCACTATCTGCCCACTTTAATACCTTGCTTCAAAAATACAGTTATAACATTTTGATTTTTGTACTTTGTTTTTGGAAATGTCTCAGGCATGATTTTTCTTTATTGCAAAGCAATGAGGTAAAAGATTTTTTTCTATGAACCGGTTTTGATTTTTGATTTCCCCCTCCCCCCCCGGAAAATTTAAAAAAGCAATCCTGAATCAGGAAGGAATATGGAAAGTTTCGGCTACTGACTAAATTTTCCTAAAGCTGAAACTAAAGCCAAACATTTGAAAGCCAGATGTTACAACACGTTACATAGTTTGCTGTTCAGATGTGTAGCCTAGACTGCTGCATAGTTTTAGATCTCAAAATTTGGAATAGATATAGCTACTTACTTTATATGTGTTTGACAGGGCGAACTATACACTGTGTTTTAAAAACTTACATATCTTTCACAATTTATAAAGGTTCTTGTAGTTTAATTTCAGTCTTTCTAAACAGTAATATTTTTATTTTAATCTGAATTCATAATGTTTGTTTTGGAAGGTGCTTCTCCTGGCCTGAGTCCTGTGGGTTCACCTACTCATGGATCTGTCTCCAGTGGGGCTTTCAGCAGCTGGTCACCTGTAGAATTTCCTGATACTGCTGATTTTCTTACAAAACCAAGCATTACTATACATAAGCCTCCAGGACACACATTTAGTTCTCCAGATTTTCAGCAGCAAGTTAAAACACCTGTAGGTTATATGTGTAGCAGGTACTGTAAACTCTGTTACATTTTTTAGTAACTTCATATGCATTGAAAAGAATACAATTAAAATGAAAAAAATGTAACAAGACCTATCCATCTACTAGTATTGAAAAAAGGGCATATGATCTCATAATAATCTGTAACTGTATTATCTAGGGGAGACTGAAGAATGCTGTATGTATGCCATTGATTTGAAATGGCTCATCCTTGAAAGCAGCAGTTACTGCAGAGTAACAATATTTTATGGATTTTTAGAAAAGGAGGACTTCCTACCTGGGAATTGAATTCTGTATTTTTGAATACTTTCTAAATAATTAGGTCTACTTTATTAATTCATGGAGGTGAGTCCAGGGTCGATTATTTTCTAAGTACAGTCTAAATCCGTGTATGCAATATTTGGGAGAAAATACTGAAGGTCACTTGGAGGAGGAACCTTCAGAAGGATGCCTTTTTAAGCAAAGTGATTTGCAGTTATTTTTCAGTACAACACAGCAGTAGTAAAAGAAGAAAATTACTGAATATTGTAAATATTTTTCATGTATTCTGTAAGCTGTGGACGTCAGATGCTCAAGCCTGTTCCAACACCAGAACCAGAATTTGCAGAAAATAAAGACAGAAAACCAGGTGAGATTTAAAAATAGACAAATATTTGATACCAACTTGCCTTTTTCTTTTAAAGCAAATTAAAATAAAATTTTTATATTTCTACATGAAAATTTTCCTATACTTAAGGTAACTCATATGCATTTATTTTATTTTCATTTGTGACTCAGGATAATCAGGATAATCTAAAATATTGCCTGCTTCAGAGTGAGGATTTTATAATAGGCTTCCACTTGTAGCTTTATAGTTCTGTACTTCATATGTCAAACGAGTTCTCTGCCATCTCGGCTAAACTAATCACTGAGTCAATTTTTTGCAAGTAAAGTTATGGTTCTAGCTTTTCTCAATCTCCTAATAGGTTTTGTATAATAAATTTTGTCCTTTACAACTTTTTTGTTCTTAAATTCTGAAATAAAAATGGTTTAGAAATAAGTTATCTCTTATATTTCTGTGAAGAATCCCTCTGATCAGTTCAAGAATTATTAACACAGTAGTAACTTAGAAATAAATTATTGATATAGTATTTATGTATGTATTTTCTTTAAGGTGAAACTGGAAGTACTAGTCTTACAAAAGAATCTTTCCACCGTACAGAGAAGAAAAAAGATGAAAGGAAGGAAATGATCGATCAAACACAAAATAATCTGCTTGTAAGCATGTAATTGCAAAAAAACTTGCAATAACTTACCGATACAGTATTTATCATTTCTAACATGCCATCGAGGTCTTTGCATTACTAAGAAATGTAATTTCTGAAGGGAAATGGTGCATCATTGGAATTCCAGTTTTCGTTTAACAATTGTGTATTTCCAGCTTGTATAAATTTCATTAGCAAATTACAAGAAAAATGGTGATTGTATTAATTTTTTGGTGACCAGAATTAATTGGTATAGATTTAATGTTGATAGCATGCTCAAACACTGATTGACTAGTATTTTCTCTTGGAAGGTTATGAAAGATGTGGCAGTTTCAGTGAGACTTACAAATGAATGTTCATACTGTGCAGTATATTGGAAGCACAGGAAGACAAATGGTTTAGGCTTTACTAATGCTTTGGGTTTATATATCAAATTTTTTAAGGCTTGTTCAATTAATGAACTGTTAAAGCTCAGTAAATGTTTTGTTAGTCTGTGCATACTTTTGCTTTGTTTTATTCACTCATCTTGTTTAAAAAGAAATAAGAATGAAAATTTAGCACCATCTCAGAAAGCCCTGGAATCTGCTGCCTCAAAATGTGGAGTCAAGCCCTTAACTGTGCTATTTGTACTATTGATTTATGATTTGTACTATTGATTTATGATTACAGCACCGTTCAAAAACTTCAATAATGATTTATCATTTTAATGTGTTTTTTTGTCAAGACAACTGACAGGTGAGATTTCGTTGTTATTTTAGAGATGATAAAGTACCTTACTCTCATACAGGTGGAGCAGAGTCCTACATTAGAAACAACGTTATTAGACCATGATTCACTGATGGAGAAGATGACCAATTGGAATTTCCAAATTTTTGACCTTGTACAAGAAATGGGAGACCAGTCTGGAAGGATCCTTAGTCAGGTTTGTTGTCTTTCATTATATGAGGGAGGGTGTGTAAAGCTGTCATGCTTATATATTTTATTTAAACTGTGAAGAAATTCTGCAGTCAACATATATGCATGAATGCTAACTTGAAAAGTAGAAATATCGTTTCTCATGTATTCCATTTCATTGTAAACCATAAAAAGTGATATATCTATAGACAACTTGCTCCAAATTTTCTGCATTTTATTCTCAATGTAAAAAATGGTCAGATTCACACTTACTAGGTTTTGTAGTAATATGCCATTTCCTATGAAAAATTGTCTCCTGCGTTCAGAATTACTACCTTGTTTGTCAACCATTTCTTTTTTCTTTATTTCAGTAAAATATTTCTGCCAGAGCTACACCTGTGGGGGAAGAGAAGTGATCTTTTAGGCAGTCTTTTGCCTCTTGATCCTACAAACAATGGGATTTTTTTCCATGCTGCTTTCTGCATGTAGTATCCCTTTTATCTCTTTCTGACTTATTACTAAGCTCTTTCGTGCATTTTCGTGTTGTGCTGAAGCCAACCTACTGGCAGGTGCAAAAATATGATCCTGTTTGCTCTTCCCCAGCCTCTCCCATTCATCAATGTCATCTGGAAGCTTCTCTCTCTTTCTTTATACTGGATTTAGCAATCATGAAGCTATAGTATGAGCTGGATTTGCTTCTGATCTGACCACAAAATATTTTTATTGCCAGTACTTTTTTTCCTACCCTGGGGTAGAATGCATGTTACTCTTGTTCAAGGGTAGTGTTAGGAACAATCAGCTGAAGGGAAGGAAACAGGTTAGAAGCACTCTGGTGCAGTGGGAAGCATAGGCCTGTAGCTATACTGAAGAAAGGAGAAAACAGTGGGGATAATTTCATTTTTGTCATTAGATACTGTCTTTTTCTTCACAATACATGGTATTCTGGATGTGGTTTTAAATCTTCAATTAGTTTTGTTTGATCAAACGTTTCAGGTCTCTTGTCACTTCATTTAGTGACGACAGTTAATGTACAGACTAGAATCCACTTCTGAGTGGATTTCACTGCAGCATACTAGTACTCTGTGAGCCACCGTAGCTTGCATTTCGTTTGTGTGCAAGCTAGGGGACAGTTCAAACCTGTGAGTACTTAAGTGTGCAGGTTTCTACGTAACTCTACCAGAATTACTGGATCAGTTCTTCCTGATTCGGTGTGTGTGCGTACTACTCGTCCTTCTCTTCCCACCCTAGTCCTTTTGTCTGTTCTGCTGTAAGGTTCTGATACAGATCTTACTTAAGAGCCAATTAAAAACTGTATTTTGCCATCATCGGTTGTAAGGTTTGCAGATTGGGTATGTGTAAGGGGAATGGCTGGGACAGGTGGAAGTAGGGATGTCCCCTCGGTTTGCCCTCCTGTTCCTTTGAGCACCTCCCACACTTCAGAACTTATTCTTTCTCTCAAGTGTCTGGGAAAGAAGTGACAAAAATGGGTAGCAGGGACTTGTTTTGAAAAGCTTTCTCAGTATTTGCAGCCTTGGAGGGTGTTAGGTCTTTGTAGTAACTAAGTTCTACTTGTAAATGATAATACGTTTGCACAGTATATATGTGTGTGGATGTTCTGAGTGTGTTTTTGAAATATTTTTTCATTTACTAGCTAGCTTTGTTAAAAATATCCAAGATAAGTCATAATGAATGAAAGAAATAGGATTGCTTTGCCAAAGTCTCAAAAATAAATAAAATGTTGGGTTTTTTATCTTAATGGCTCTGCTACTACAGTTAACTAATTTGAATTTTTGCATAATAAATAAGAATATAGATTTCTTCTTTTTAGGTCACTGATGGAATAAAGCATAAGTTCTTTAACACTACGAAAATTTTGGAGAATATTATAAAAAAATAATCAATTGTGCATAGAATTTATCAGTAAAGAAATAAAAGCTTTTCTTATTTTGTATTTGAGAGGATGATAAAAATCCACATTTTTCTGATTAAAAAAATCATTAAATATGTCTCCATGACAATAATTTTCAGATAATCTTTAATGGAATTTCAGTAACTTTCAGCTATGTCAGCAAGCAAAATCTTAAAAGCAGGAATATTTTTAAAGTTTAAAAAGCAGAATATGCTTAGGTATATTTTTCAGACTAAAATTAATTTTAATATGTATTTAGGTAACTTATAACTTGTTTCAAGACACTGGTTTGTTTGAAATTTTCAAAATCCCAACTCAAGAATTCATGAATTACTTCTGTGCACTAGAAAACGGCTACCGAGATATTCCCTGTAAGTACTATCCAATTACAAATGTTTTTCTTTTATATTAGTGTATCTCCTTTTGTGTGTGTATTAGTTTAATATTTAATACAGAGGTAGACAATGTATGAGCTTAGTATATTTTTAATTAATACAAATTTGTCAGAATTTAGAACTGATTTAATGAATTGCAGCAAAAAAAATGGGTGGACTCCAAAACTGAGTGAGTTAATGTGTAGGTTGAATATAACCTTAAAGAATTTGAATGAGTAGTTGAGTCAAACATACTGAAGTCAATGAGAGAATATTTATTGATTTAATAGAAATTTGGTTTAGGCTTGTAATAGAATAATAAGAAAATAAAGAATTTTGACAGTAAATATTCATCTTGCTGTTTAGGGCAGCCAAATTTATTGGGAAAGGAAACAAACAAAAAACAC